CCCCCACCCCGAGGTGCTCTGTTTCAAAACCAAACTGACCCGCTTTCCCATTACCAGGGGCCGCACCACCACTAGCTTTATTTCTGCTACAATAGGAGAACATTGTATTTCCCCAGCCTCTGTTTCAGGAGTAAGATAGTGAATTTTTTTTCCCCCCTTTTAAAATTTTAACAGTGTTCTAGTCTGTTTTATGCAAGTTTTTCACAGAATTTCACAGTCCTTATCTTTATAATTCCATGCAGACTACTATGAGTTTGTGAGATTATGACCACGTTTTGGCCTTTTATCAAAAGGGCTACCCTATTCTAGCTTCCACCAGCAAGAAATTAACAGAAGGCAGACTGTTCCCAAGTTTTTCTAAGGGTAAACAAGTCAATTTGGGGACCTGCAGCCCACCTCTGCTTTGCAGCACTCCCACATATTTACTGGATGAGAACAGGTATTTAGGACAACCATAACTGAGCAGACGCCGTACAGATGCTCTCTGTATTTAAAAGGCAGGCCCTGGCCTAACCACAGCATGTCCCAGATTGCCAGGTGAATAACCTGGTTATCCCACTGAAACAGAACTCATAAGATGAGACATTAGAACTATTAATGTATTTTTAGCCTGGAGGCAAATCAATCACAGCCTGGAATTAAAAGTTCCACTAAAAGCACTCAAACAAATGACTTAATTGCCAACATAGTTTTGTTTTCTTCGTAACAATTTCAGAAGCAGAAGCAATTTAGGGCACAGACACTGTAACAGAAAACTCCTACCAGGAAAATCATTGAGGGGAGAGAACAATGATTCACAACCACATCGATGATTACTGCAATCTCAACCTAGGGGCCTTTGATTTTGGAAGTTGCAGCAGAATTTCAATGAAAACAGTTTTCTTCTCTTTCTCTCTTTCACTTTCGGTAAGAGAGAACTATTTCAACTTCTAATGCAAACAAAGTGAATTATACCCCAAATTAACAACAGCAATTAGAAAGCTAAGCTTAAGGGAGCTGCTTTCACCACCTTGACCGCAAAAACACCTTAAGCTGACAGACTGGGAACAGTCCTGCTGCCAAAGATCAGCCTGCCTGATGGCCCAGAAAAAGCAGTAAGGGAAAAAGCCCTACAGCATGACTGTCTGGAAAGTGAAAATATTGAAGCTACCCGAGATCACCGTGGAGGAGAGATTCCAAAACTGAGACAGTCTCAGAGCACTCTCCCAAATCCCCACTGAGGGAATCTTGCACATATCCCCATCTGACTATGGCTACACAATGAAATACTGCATCTTTTTTTCACCTTCATCCTCTTCTCCAGCCTTTCTTGTTTTTCCTTTTCTCTCTCCTTCTCCAGTTTTTTATTCTTGGCCAAGATGGTGGACTTATTTTGTGGAATCTTTTTGTTGAGCACTTTTGCCATGGCATCTGCCCATCCTGCACTTGGGCCAGCTTTGGAGTTTGCTGCCTCTTCAACTGCATTGCCAAGGGCTGCCATTTCATCTTCATCATCACCATCCAGGGCTTCGCCTCCTGAAGAGTAGCTGTCTTCTGGAAGTCCTGAGCTTAACTCAGAATCTAGGGGTAAAAAAAGGAACAAAAAAAAAAAGTATCAGGAGTTCTGCTTCTAGTAAGGATGCATCATTAGCATAATCTGCTCCATATGTGGATGTTATCCAAATTCAGGACCACGTACTACTTGCTGTTACAATTAGTTCCTCAAGCACGCATACACCACCATAACGAAGTTATTAGAAAGTATCCAGTGCAAGTGCTTGCTCACCTCAGTGATGATTTAAAGTGATTTAAGAGGTTGGGTAAAAGGGAAAAGGCAGCCTTGGATACTGATTATTAGTTAATATTTTGATGATTATTATTAATGAACAGTTTGATGTTTAGGAGTGGTTAAGTTTGGGGGAAAAAAGCTATATTTTCCAGTTCAAAATTTGTAAGTTATAAATGCATACACACACACACACATATGTATGTATGTACACACTTACATCCAAACTGCAATAGTGACATCTAGTGTTTAAAAGCAAACAGCCACATGGATTAAATTGAAGGTAGGGGGGCATTTTTTACATGAAAGCAAAATCTGCTCAAGGAAAACAATCCCAGCAAAAATACAGTTACCTAAGCATAATGAAGACAGAGGGGAGACTGCTCTGTGAATTACAGAATCAAGAGAGTTATCAGGTAGCTCAAAAGATACCAGAGAAACTCAGTCCCTCTGGTTTAAGTAACTGCTCAAGTTCTTGATACACAGTAAGTTTCCCCCAAATCCAAGTTTCCTTACCCCATGCCCTCTTCAGAAAAAAAAAAAAAAAAAAAAAAGAAAGAAAGAAGGAATTAAAGTTAAAATACTGACGTTTGGCATCAAGCAACAGCAAGACAGGAGAGAACAGCCAACTAGACGGCAAATCAAACACATGAAGAATCTACCACCTCCCTCATTAGTCTGTTCAGTGGGTCAAGTGACAAAAATCAAGTCTTTAACAGTGCGGATGATTAACTAGAATGAAACGGGCCACAAACTTAGGGTGTGCTAAAATATGTTTGGTTATTTCAGTGGACCCACTTTATCACATAATCAAGAGCAGAGCATACAAGCGTCCTGCCACTGTCAACTACCATTCCACTAACATTTGTGCCACCCAAAAGTTTTAAATTGATTATCCTGTATACAACTTTCAAAAGGCCGCAAATCAATGCTGGATAGAAGGAAGCTGGTTTCTGACACCTCTGCAGTCCCACCAGCCAGGGGACAACTCCCCACCAACTCCAAGATACCAGCTGACTGGCTTTCATCTATCTACTGCTCTCACACTACTTTAAAAAGAGCATTTTAAAATCACAATGTTAAGTACTACTGAGCCAACTGCTCTACTTTGCAAGCACTAATATGTTACGTGAACTCCCTTTATCAACCAAATCATTAAGAGAATGAAGTCAGGACTGCTTCACAAGATCAGTTTTCAGTAAAACCATGCAGACAGCTACTAATGACATCCCTTATTAATCAATTGCCTATTTACTTACTTAACAAACATAAACATACGCTCTGTAGCCAGACTGATTCATTACTCTGCCTCCTCCATGTGCCTTTTTGAACCAGCAAAAAATTTCCCCAATGTATCAGCAAAACAGTGGTGTTAACCAATTTAAAACAAAGCCTCTAATGCCCAGGCACATTTAGAGGCTCAGAGAGCATTTAGGTATTAGCATGGAAGGAAGCAAGACTGTATGTTTACATCACAAATGTAGAAGAGAAATACTTACTGAATACTTGCTTGTTATCTATATCAGTATGATTTTTACAACCACCAAGGTGAACACAGTGTTGTGTCACGCTCCACACAGAATAAATTATGGTTTGTTTTTTTTCCCTCAACAGTTCTTACTGTAATTGGAAATTTAGAAGTGGTGAATTTGTTCAACACATTCAGAAACCACTAAAGACAACCTTTTTATGGTATCAGTATGTCTCCACATCCCAATTATGAATTTTTTAAAAAAATTCAAACCATTGCATGTCAAGAAGTAGGTACATTATGACACCCCAGTTCCTACATGTAAAACAATTTGTCAAGTTTTCACCCCTAAGCCTTGTCCATGCTAGAATATTGCTATCTAACCTTTAAATAAGGAATTAACCCCCTACTGTGACTTTTTATACATACAAAAGCTAACAGCTACCAAAAGTCCAAACGTGAACTCCACACAGTGCTTAGGACCAACTTCCACAGTTAGCCATAAAAACCAGATCAGAATTACAAAAAGGAAAATTGCAAAAGCATATATTACTCTCCTTTACATAATATTTTCTGCCAATATAATAGGAGGATAATGCCAGATAAAACCAACAACATTTTGCTTTCAACAATTACAGAAAGATGAATAAGGCTTTTACAACCAGACTTGACTTACTCTTTAATACATCAGAGGATCGGTCAACAGCATGAGATAAAGCAGAGGTATTTCAAATTAATTTTAACTAGATTAATTCTATCAGAAGTAGGACCTGGGGCTCTAATCTGAATTGCAAAGATTGAAGCCAGGTACAGAGCTAATGTAAGAAGTCCTAATTGTGTGCATGTGTGTGTGGGGGGGGAAATACAGGTATACATCTCCATCCTTTATTCTTTTAAACTTACAAAGTGATCTAGGTGCAGACACATACAGTTAAAACGAGCAATTATTGAGAAATGAGCTCTGAAAGAAGCTCCCACACAAGGCTTCCGCTTGGGTTCAGTTTTGACCGTCAAACCAAACAGAGCCACTGTGAGCTACGGCTCCAAACGGCCCCAACCTTGATTCCTCCCAGAATAAAGAATAAAAAAAAAAAAAAAAAAAAAAAAAAAAAATCAATGACATGATATAATTATGAAGCAGTCACAGCTAGTTAGGTATACCCTCACAACACACAAAGAGGCAAGAGTGAGTGGAGAACCGTGTACAAAGGATAGAGCCTGGGTGCGTTCATACGCTCTGCTCTCCCGGTGGGTTACGGGAACCGGCGTTATCTCACGGGCTTCCTTCGGAGCAGGAAGCAGATCCCCGTCTCAGGCAGACATACAGCCCATCGCACCCCGGAACTCGTCCAGCTCTGCCCAATC